GGGAGCCGCACCCGCCTGCAGGCGGCCGAGACCAGGGGCGACTGCGCTCCTCCCCTCCGCCCCGGAAGGATTCTTGGAAGCCCCTGGCGGCACCCCCGCCCCGGGGTTCTTCCCGCTGTTCCAGGTGGACTGGGCGGTGCTGAGCGCAGGCCCAGGGTAGTTTGCAGGCGCTCGTGTAGGAAACGCTCCTGAGTGCCCACAGGACGCCAGGGATCCTGCCAAGTCCCAAGGAGGTGACCGCAGACACAGCCACCCTGCCCTCAGGGAGCATTCAGTCGGCCTGCTAGTCTGTAAAGAGAACTACTGTGCTCAGCTATTAAAAGGGTTATTCATTTAATAAACCTTTATTATGAGACTGAGTGCCAAGGGCAGAAGACACAAATAAAGCAACAACGTGTGCTTGGCCTGAAGCAGTTCTCAGGTAATGCATTCCTGAGATACTGAAAGCCTGGGGGAAAGGGAGCCAGATTTCACTGTAAGGGCGATTTCTTTTTGTGCCTCCAACAGAACTTGTGAAAAAATGTAAAACCTACAAACTATTCTCTCCCCCACTCCCCTCCCCGAAAAACATCTTCAGCTTCCCAGCTGTATTATTCTCCTGCTGCAGGATTCCAGATACATTTCAGTGCAGTGGATATTTCTAACCCTCCTACGTTGGTGTGATACCTATGGCAAAGGCTCCCTTGATGCTCTCCGAATCCCCCCGAAGCCAGAGGAAGTTACACTTTTTTAGACAAGAAAAGGCATGAAGGACAGCTTGTTCTGTTTAAGCCAGAGTCATCATTATCAAGGCCCTACTTTTTGACACTAGAAGGAGAAGATAGGACAAAGTCCAACATGAGTGTCTTAAGAACTCAAGACAGATACACAAGGCCTGATCGTTTACTTGGCCCTAAACTGACTCTCCTTAGTATATTTAAAAATGACTCCATTTTGAAAGGCTTAATCAATAGGCATTCTTTTTCAGGATCACATTCCTTGAGAAAAGTTAATTAATCCGACCCTGTTGACTCCTAGCAATCAGCCCTCTTCATTGCAAGGCATTTCTCTTCAAACTGCCTTGGGGACTAAGAAATAGGATGGTAACTCAAACGAAATGGGAATCAACATGGATTGCAGCAGGCGCTTCAAATGTAGCAGGCACAGAAGTAGGTGGGGGGAGGCACTTTCTTCTCATTGAGTCCTCACAGCAGTCCACGAGGGAGATGTATTTAAAACTGGCCATTTTATAAATGAGGTAACTGATGTCCTGAAAAGCTAATTTTCTTAAGCTCTGACAGTTGCATTTGCACCTAGGTTGTCTGCAAAGTCTTATTCTATCACACCCCATCTTTCCTCACTTTCTTCCACTGCCTCTGTTATACATTTAAAAAGTTAAACGGTTTGCTGCTCTTCACAGACAGCTGCTGGAAGCAGATGACACCCATAGGAGGACCCTTCCTTGGCCAGCTTCTGCCCTTCCCTGCTAGGGGGCACTAATGCACACAGGCATCCAAAAGCCTTCTAAGTAGGTATAAAGATGAAGTACTCGGGGCTGGGGATTTAGCTCAGCGGCAAAGCGCCTGCCTGCCAAGTGCAAGGTCGTGAGTTCGGTTCCTGGTACCGGAGAAAAACCAAAACAAACAAACAAACAACAACAACAACAAAAAGATGAATTACTCCTCTTGAAATTACTGTACCTTCTTGAATGCACAAATATGAGGGAAAATGAGGAAGGAACTTGCAGTAAAATAAATTAGTTTCAACAGCAATCAAAATATCAAAGGGAAAATCACTGTTCTGTGAATTCCCTCCAAGCAAGGGCAGTGATCGGAGGAAGCATTATCACTCGGTGCTACACAACCCCAAACTTTATAAAACCTCATTCTGGAAAAGTTGCAGGAAATGCAGCCAGTTGTATTTTGCCAATGGGAAAAGAGAGAAAAGGAACAATAAGAAGTAACTCGTCCTGGAATCACAGCCACGATCATATCTGTGCTGTTTTTATTACCATAAAATAATCCTCTTCTGTATGCTAAAATTGATGCTTGCTATTAAAATCAATACCAAAATTGGTACCTATATACAATTATTGCAAGAAAACCAATATTTTGCTTTTAAATGCTTTGGTAGCCTGGTGTGGTGGCACCTGCCTATATCCTAGCACAGTGAGAAATGAGGATCAAGTTCCAGCCTAACCTGAGCAACTTCGTGAGATCCTGTCTCAAAGTAAAAGCAGAGCTGGTGGTGTGGCTCAGGATGAAAGCCCTGAGTCCAATCACCAGTATGGGAAAACAAATAAAAATCACACTCTTGTTGGTATTGCATACAAAAGGTTTTAAAACTTTTGATTTTTGGTGAATATGTTACCAAACTCATTGGATTAAAAGCAGTGCTATAATCAGAGTGCAGAACTGTTCTATTATCACAAAAACCCCTTTGTTTTTGCATCCCCCTCAACATTAATCTGTTCTCCACGTCTAGAGTTTTATCATTCTGAGACTGTTATATTAATGGGGACAGAGAGTATGTAACGTTTTGAGATTGACTTAAAAAAAAAAAAAAACTAACCATAATGTCCTTGAGGTTCATTCAGAGTGCTGCATCTATTAATAGTTTATTCCTTTTTATTGCTGAATAAATTTCTATTGTATGGATGGGCCCAATTTTGTTTATTCACCCACAGAATGATATTTGAGCATTTTGCTCTCATTAAAAACATTTGTTGTGGATTTTTACTTGAGCATGAGTTTTTTCCTTTGGCACGAATGCCCAGGAATTCAACTGCTGAGTTACATACTACGTAGACTGTTGATCTATTTTTTGAAGTGACTGTACCTTTTATAGCCCCACCGACGACTTGTGAGAGGATCTAGTATTGGTATTGTTACTCTATTTTATAGAACTTCTGTTTTACAAAATTTTACTTCCTGTAGTTGTGCAGACAGCGCATTGTAGCTTTAACTTGTACCGCCCTAATGGCTAATGGTGTTGAAGTTTTTTTTATCGTGCTGGGGACCGAACCCAGGGCATTACACGCGCAGGCATGAGCTCTTCCGCTGAGCCACTTCCTCCACTCCCTTTTGTTGGACATCTTTTTGTGGAATTATTCACCATCTTTCTCCTCTTTGCTGAACAGTCTGTTCAGGCCATTTTCCTGTTTTACAGTTGGTTGGTTTACTATTGAGTTTTTAGGCTTATTTTACACAGGCTGAGGTCACATTTTTCAAATAGGAAATTAAATACCTGTATTTTTTTTTTTTTTTTTTTTTTACCTGTAATATCTTAAACTCATTTTCAATTCAGTGACTATTGTTCCACATGTCTACTGCCAGCAGTTTTATGGAAAACATTCTCGGGTATAGAAGTACTTACATATGACTTCTGGAGAGGAGGTCTTCTCTTGTGCAGTGGCTCCTAACGGAAGCCAAGGATCCCGCGTGGGCAGCCCAGACCTGACCTTGTGCGCAGGCGCAGGCCTTGAGGCACTGGCTGCTACCGATCCGGCCTAACCCAAGGGGCGTTTCCGGCTGGTCAACTGTCTGGGATCCTAAATTTCAAGCTATTATTAGCTATTTGGAGAGTATTATCCAGGATGAGGAATTGCAGGTGCTACAGTGAAATTTCATGGATAAGTACTCACAGGGGCAAGACGAGAATAAGCTCACCCTAAGTGTGTTTGGCCGGCGGTCTATTTAAGAACAGAGTTAACAGGGCAGCTTTCACATGGCCAACCATTTTGCGTTACCCCGAAGACGAAGTAACTGGTGATGTTTTCGACACGCCTTTTACATTTCTGGATATGCTGGCTTCTGCAGACAGGCTTCTGGACCCCAGAATCAGAAAGCTAGGTACTGGACTTAAGCAGTCATTCAGTGACAACTTCTTTGCCCAAATCATCTTGGATGCCAGCTTTGCCCAAGAACTGGGATATGGCTCTCCCTCTCAGCAAAGTCTGAAAAGCAGGGACCCCAATGGGCTGGGCTGAGCTCTCTTAGTGATGACAGATAGAGAAAAGTGACCCTGTTCTGGGGGGTCTTCGTTAAACATTGATGAGTGGAAACTAAAATGACCTCCTGGGGCCCCGGTATTTCTGGAAACATCTTCTAGCCCTCCTACCAGAGGAAGTGCTTCTCCAAGATGCTTCTAGTCAGACTAATTGGGGCAAACCGATGGCCAG